GTTATTTTAACTGAAATGACGTAGCAAAAAATGGATATCATAGTGCTCTCTGAAACCAAAAAAAAGGCCTAGGAAATGAACAGATTAAACACTACATTCATATATGGTCAGGAGTAGAGAAACGCGTACACGCTAAATCGGGGGTCTCAATTCTTATAAAAAAAATCGTTAAAAAACTATACAACAGGCTATGCGTACATCTCTGAAAGAATTCTGACAGTAACTGTCACATTGTATGGCATCGAAACAATAGTTATTGGAGTCTATGCGCCAACAGACGATTTAAATCAACAAGTTAAAGATTCCTTTTATGAAGAATCATCAAACATTTGTGATAAAATAAAAATTCATCAAAAAATAATACTGTTAGGAAAACTAAATGCCAGAAAATAACGTGGTGGGACGGCACGGAGAAATAGTTAAAATTGGTTCAAGGGGCAGCTTAATTTTGTCAACTTTTTGATTTAAAAATAATGAATACCCAATTCCAAAATAAAGATATTCATAAATACACTTGGGAGCGACCTTCCACTTCTATTATATAGCATAATAGTGCAGAGCAGATCTAACTGTGGGACACATCACTACTTTTGTTTAGCTAATCTTTTGTGCCGCTTTAAACAATACTACAAACATAACACTGAAAGTGAGAGAAACAATACTACACAGTACAAAACAGAGATATATAAATTGCACCTTTTATTCCAACCAATTATTAAACATCTTTTTCAATCTATATTAGAAAAGAAACTAAATGAGATGGAAAGAAATATGGACGTAGAACAAGAATACAACACATAAACGATAATAAAAAAATTGCTTATGAAGTATTAAGAAAAACGGCAAATAACACCACAAACCACCATGAATGACAGAAAACGTATAATTTATATAAATAAACGAAAAAAAATGTATAGGAAATGGCTAACAAATAAAACATCTAGCAATAGAGTAACATGTCAAAGGAAAAACGGATAAGTATGCAATCAAATAAACGAAACAAAAAACAATTTCAAAAAGCAATTTTCAGTCTATGGAAGCATGGAGAACTATCACTAATCTGAAGAAAAAAAGAAAAACACCCATAACTCCTTAAGCAACTTAATTCCTATAGAAAAGTGGGAAAGTTACAAATAGTAACATTAATACTACTAACAACGAGGTCCGTACTGCGTTAATTAAAATGAAAAATGGGCTATCTCCGGGACCTGGCAATATAGCTGTAGAGTTACTTAAAGCGGTAGGTCCACTCCTAATACAACGAATAACTTTTCTAATGAATCAATTCTGCCAACAAATTAAAGTACCATCTGAAGGGAAAACCACTCACCAAGTGTCTATCTTTAAAAAGGGTAATCTAAAAGATCATATCTCCTACAGAGGATTAAGTGCTCCTACTACTCTCCTACCTGCTTTCGGGAGATTGTTTAGAAAGATAATAAATGGAAAAATACAAGATGATGTAGGACATTTAATTAGCGAAGACCAAAGTGGATTTACGCCTGGTAGATCTTGCACTGATAACTTGTTTATACTCCAACAATTAATAGAAAAAAGCGGTTGGTACCGAAGTACATCTAGCCTTCATCGACGTAGAAAAGGCGTATGATACAGTTCCAAGACTTAAATTGTGGCAAGATTTGCAACAACTCGGCATTAGTCCATACCTTTTAGGAATAATCACAGAAGTAAACAGGAATAACTCTACTTACCTAAAAATCGGAATATCAGAGCCAATAAAAGTAACTAAAGGACTAAGACAAGGATGCAGTATGTCACCCTTACTGTTTTATTTATATATTGAGGCAGCCCTTCAAAATTCGAAAAACCATTGCCAGGGAATGTGAATCCCCATAGGAAATGACGTACTGTTTTCCCTGAACTTTCTTCTTAGAGTGCCGTCCCCCTATGGAGGTTGGTAATCATAATGGCTACTTTTATTTTAGAACTTGCTGCTCTAAACAAATCAATCGATCTGCATTAATACCAATCACATAGATTATTTAACCATGAGTTCTGCCTTCGACCAACAGACTTTCTTCCTTGAATCATTCCCAGTATTATGAGTCTCAAAATTTCATATTTTGGTCCCCTCATCACGTAGCCTAGGTATACCGGCTTTCTAGTTTTCTGGTTCTGGATTCCTGAACTTTGCGCATGACCAAGTCGTTCTAGCTCAAGATTCTTTTCTGAATTTCCGATAAAGCGTCTATACAGAGAATATTTTTTAAAATGGGGTTACAAGTCAGCGTGAAGAAAACAGAATATTTAATTATCAATTCAGATGCAAGGTTTGAAGTGTTGATAGACGAGGACGTGGAAATCAAACAAGTGGAAAAATTTAAATATTTAGAGAGTCTGAACTCCTTATGGTGGGATCGCAACATTTCCAAAAGGAACAAAAAATAATAGGGTAAACCATGGTTGAATCAGTTCTTTGCTATGGCTCTGAAGTATGGACAATTAATGCAGACCTAAAGAGAAGATTGTTGACAGTTGAAAATGGATTATTTGAGAAGAAGTGCTAGAACATCAATTCGGGAAAGGAAGGCCAACGAATCTATAAGAAATATCATGAATGCTACAGAAACGGTCATTGATAGAATAGAAAGAAGAGGTTTAAAATGGTTTGGACACCTATTGAGAATGCCTGACGAACGTTGGCCCCAAAAACTTCACAGATGGAAGCCCTCTGGAAGAAGAAAAAGAGGTAGACCTCGACGCTTATGGAATGAAGGAATTAGAAGAGCGATAGAAGAGGAGTATTGGCGGAGATGCGGAGAACGGGAATACGGCGATAGCCGTCTCCAAAATGCATTGCATTTACAAGTTGGATCCTTTATATATATATATTATATAATTATATATATATTAATATTTATATATATTTTGTTTAATTTTACCATTTTTGAAACTAAATCATAGATCCCACTGATCCTTTTAGGCTCTTATAGAACTAAATTTAATGAATGAACCATTTTTAAGAAAGATAAATAAGATGCTTCTGACTATGCAATATAATTACCATTTAATTATCTGTTTTTTGTCGGAAGTCTTTTAATGCGTTTTCTTTTCTGTTAATTTATTTTTTGGATCGCTTATTTGGGTGTGATGTTTTAATCCAGTCAAGCAGTAAATAGAAGAAAGAATGGCAGACCATACAGACAACGGACTTTATCGGAAGCAACTTAAAAGTGAATAGGAACAGTGCATATAAAGATGCGGCAAAACTGGTTCGATGTGGAATGTAGGAATGCTTTGGCCAGAAAAAAAAGTCCAAAAGTACAACGATACAGAGATATTGTATCTAAATCACAATACAGATTTGGTATTTGAAGATACCAAAATAAGATCAAAAAATATATGGCTCGAAGAAAAAAGAATTTACAGAAAAAAAGAAATAAAACAGCTAGAAAAACATACAAGAAACCAACATAAAGAAAGAGGTAAAATATTTATACCAAGAGGTTGAGAAATGCAGAGAAACTAAAATGAATATTAAAAGTATTTCAGAAACAAAGGTTTCCTTTTAGGAAAAACAAGAGAAAAATTTTAATACATGGGCAGAATACTTCGTTAATCTGTTAAATACAGACGACAAGAGAAACCAAGCAAAAAGATGAAGAAGAGACGTACGAGGAACCAACTTTTACCAATAGCAGAAACTGGTATCCTTGCTGAGATTTTTAAGGAAGGCGGCAAAAGACTGAAAGAAAGAATATTCCGCTTAACATTAGCAGTTTATCAAAAGGAAAAAATAGAATAATAGAGATAATAGAATAGCTCTTATTAGTTCTATCTACAAAAAGGCGACAAAACAAAGTGCGAAAACTATAGAGGTTTAGCACTATTAGAAGTAGTCGATAAAATACTTAAAAAAATGATTAGGAAAAGAATAATGAAATATAAAAACAAAGTTAACGGTGAGTCTAGCTAGGGTGAGTCTAGACCAAAAAGAAAAACTGCTGATCAAATAACTGTCAAAATCAATTCAAAATAATAGCTACGAAGAAAACTTAGGATACATATGTTATTGATCGATTTGAAAAAGACATACGACTCAATAAACCAAAGGACGCTAGATGAGGCCATGAGAACATTAGAAATTCCAGAAAAGTTATTAAGACTAGTGAAAATGGCAAGAAAACGTGTCAGAATTTTAATACTTAGGAGTAACCATAACCAACACGGGAAAAGAAGAAAAAGAGATATATAAAAGATTAATGAAGAGGAGTAGGGCGATAGGGTCACTAAATTTAATACTGAAAGCAAAAAATGTGCCAATATCAGCTAAACTGTGAGTCTATGAGACAGTGATCAGATCTAGAGTGATTAATTCTGGATTACGAATCAACAGGAAGAAAAGAAAGTAGAGATCTGGAAAGAAAGGCGCATAGAAAATTTTTCGGAGGAATGCAGAAGCTGAGAATATTTGGACAAGACGAACAAACAAAGAAGTAATGAAGTTGTATGAAAAACCAATAATTACGGCAAAAATACGAGCCTAAAGGACGAGATGACTTGGTCATATTATACGAATGCCAGAGAACCGAAATGTTAAAACAATGCTGAAGGAGGAGAAATGGGGAAAAAGAAGAGGACGTCCAAAGAAAAAATAATCAGAAGCAGTAAAGCAAGACTGGTTAGAAATAGGCGTGATAGATCGGAGAGAAAAAGCAAGGGACGGGAAAAAATGGAAGAGAAGTAACCAAGTTTTTGGAAACCAGAGACTTACAATAATAGAAGGTAGGGGTGTGACAGAGAGCCGAATATCTTGACTGAGTAAAATAGGAAGAAGAAATGTGGTAATACTATTATTGTGCATTGATTAAGAAATCCAAAATGGAGGCTAAAAGACCAATGAGACGCAAAAACTTTTTCGGCCACGAATTAACCGAAACTCAATATCGCTTAACGTTGATTAGATTATAACAATATTTTACAATAGGTAAATTAGGGATCAAAAATTTAATAATAAACTACGAAGAAAAACAACTTACCTTCACTTAGTCGCATTGGATGTAATTCCCCCGTAGTCGTGGAAACTACATTGTCATTTTCTCGTCTAACTCTTTCAGACGAACTCGCTGTATTCTCACTACCATCGCTGCATGCACTAGAAGTACTTTGTCCAAAATCAAAACAAAAATCTTTATTAACTCTCACTTCGGGAATACAATCACTATTTACAGTTTGTTTTTCAGAATCTTTCGAATTACAAGACAATAGAGAATCTATAGAAAATTTCACCGAATTTTGTCCATTTTTCTTTTCCCCACAATCAGTATTATCACTTATAACTAGAACCTCATCCATTTTAAATAGTAAGTTATTTTCAACTTTATAATCGTTTCAGTTCTGAAAGATATATTCAGATTCTGAAAACTAAAACAACTTTCCTGTAAGCACGATTCCGACCAATGAGAGCCGAAAGGCGTGGCTTGAAATGATCTGTTGGGCCAGGTTGGGCAGTCTGGATAATTGAGATAAATGTGACTATAAGCATATGTTAAATTTAAACATATTTTGAATTAGTTCATTTTAATAAGTGTCTCATCGACGGTGAAATGTTGTCATGTAATTGTTTGCAGATGTTTGAAAAATGAAATAATGGTTTTCCTGTAAGTTTTGCCAACCACCTCTGAATTAATAATACTTATTGGATCTTTGATCTTTTATACGCAGTGACAGTTTCATTAATTATTGTATTATGATGCCTGTCCCCTAGTAATATCTTTTGACAAAATAATATACGATATGGAAAATCCGAGCCTCTCCTCTTGACACGCCCTCATTAAACAGAGTTTATAAAAGTGATCTAAAAAAAAAGAAAATTTCAATAAGCTTTCTTTGTCCAATTTTTCCTTTAATTTATATCGTAAGCCTTGACACCACTGTCGCGCAAATTTATAATTATTATGGAAATTATCATATTTAAATATATCTACTAACTTAACAATGCCACAAGAAAGTGGTTTCAGAACCTTATCTACTGGACTATCTCACATAAAGAATAACCCCGTTAAGATAGGTAAAATACCCCCACTTAGAATACAATTTTTTTTATTTTTTTACGTTCTATGTGATTAAAAAATAAGGCTCAACGCAATTTTAGCCCCCGCCCCCTCTCCTCAAACCCTATCGCCAAAAAGGTCAATTTTTCGTTTTTATTTTTTTTTAGATGGAATAAAATCAATTTAAAAATTTCAAAAAATTAACACACATAGATAAGGCTTTTACAAAACTTCTCTATTTTTTATAGATCGGTCGGTTGAGTGTAAATTACCTAAAAATACATTTTTTTTTTTCGAAAAAAGAGTATCTATACCTTGTTTTTGGAGCAGGCTACAGGTTCAATATTTTTGATATTTTTCAATTTTTTTTCCGTATGGTGCTCTATCTCCAAAAATCGGAAAAACTGTGTTTTAGAAGGTTCTAGGGGATTTTCTTCATTTTATCAGATCTCCAAGATAGATCAAATCAAGGTTTTTCATAGGTTTTATATATATATATATTATATAATATATTATATTATATATATATAAATATATATATATTAATAAAGATGGTGGTATTCTTGACTGTTGATTTAAATATAAGTTATGATTTTTGAGGATGCAGTCAGTTTATTTGGCCCACAAGACAAAGAAAACTCTTTGACTTACTGTCAAGCTTTCGAATTTTTTTTAATTCTTTTCAAGACATCTATAAAAAGAAATATAAATAACTAGTTAAAATTGTTAATTTTTCTTACTTACTAGTCGTGAGATTACAGTTTTTAATATTGTACTCTACTAAACAAACCATAATAAATATAATAAAAATTTTTTATTAAAAATAACTATATTGTCACTATATATGTCACTGTCATGGTTTGATTAATGGACATATATGAATGAAAATACAGTTACTTTATGTGGAAAGCAAAACCAGTAACAATAGTTTTTATTATAATTTATTTAATTGTCTATAAAAAATATATAAATTAATCCAGTCAGAGAAACTTCTAGAACATTACACAGCAGAATTATTTCTCATAAAAGTGATGTAAAAACTAAGAAATCACAAGCTTGTGCATTAGCCGAACATTCCATCAATCTAAATCACACATTTAATTTTTCACAGGCTTCAATTCTAGAGAGGCAAAAACATGAACAGAAACGGTTATTTTTAGAAATGACACATATACAAAAAAATAAAAAATGTGTAAATAGAAGATCAGATATTGACAAATTAAGTAACATTTATTGCTACATATTAACATATCAATAAATACCGTCAAAATCTCATTTTCTATTGACATCCTAATATTAAAAATTCATATGTGCTTAAGCCAAACTGCTGACTGGATTAATTTATATATTTTTTATAGACAATTAAATAAATTATAATAAAAACTATTGTTACTGGTTTTGCTTTCCACATAAAGTAACTGTATTTTCATTCATATATGTCCATTAATCAAACCATGACAGTGACATATATAGTGACAATATAGTTATTTTTAATAAAAAAATTTTATTATATTTATTATGGTTTGTTTAGTAGAGTACAATATTAAAAACTGTAATCTCACGACTAGTAAGTAAGAAAATTAACAATTTTAACTAGTTAATTTATATTTCTTTTTATAGATGTCTTGAAAAAGAATTAAAAAAAAAAAAAATTCGAAAGCTTGACAGTAAGTCAAAGAGTTTTATATATATATATATATATATATATATATATATATATATATATATATATATATATATAGTAGTTGTGAGTTTCTTGTACCGTATTATATTTAATATAAAATTATTATTTTTTTTTTATTTAAACAAAAATGACCCTGCATCAACTACTAAGAGTAATTAGCAGGGGGTACAAACACAAAATTATAAGTATTTAATTTCTTACAAGGTATATATGTATAACTTAAATATGTTCTATTAAACACTGTAAATTTTAATGTCTTTCAAATATTTAAGCACTTTGTTGAACTGGCAGCTTAATAGATCCTTCAGGTTGGTAGAGAGGTTATTTTTTCTTCTTTCTTGGGTGTATGTTTTGCATTCTAACAGAATATGTTTCACAGTGATTTGGATCTTGCAGTTGTGGCAGAAAGGGATGGCTTCTTTATTTATTAAGTGAATATGGGTTGGTATAGTATGTCCTAATCGTAGTCGAGTTATTATCACTTGTTCACTACGTTTGAGTGGGAGTGGTAAGGTGGTGCCGACAGTTTCTATAACATCTTTTAATTTGTTGGATGTGGAATTCCAGTTACAATGCCATAAATTGGTAATATGTTTTTTGATGGAGGTTTTATGATCGTTTCTTGTTATCATGTGTGACACAGGGATGCTTTCATCTAGTGCAGCTTCATTCGCAAGTTGGTCCACTGCTTCATTTCCCTTGATTCCCACGTGTGATGGCACCCATAAAAAAGTTTATTTCTATGTTTTTTGTTGATAGTAGTATGAGTTCATTTTTTATTAACATTATAATTTCATTTGATGGATACAATTGCTGTAAAGATTTTAGTGTACTTAGTGAGTCAGATATTATAATATAATGAGGTGCAGATTTTCTTCTGCAAACTTTCAGTGCATAAAATTATTGTTTCTTGGTTTTAGGTTCAATAAAGATATATTATATGTGGAACTAGATTTTATTTTCTGTAAAATAAAATCTAGTTCCACATATAATATATCTTTATTGAACCTAAACTCAAGAAACACTAATTTTATATTATATATATATATATATATATATATATATATATATAAATATATATATATATAAATATATATATATATATATATATATATATATATATATTTATAAGTATATATTTCATCTGAGGGATTTACTTCAATTACTTAAAGTGCAGTGTATTTTGTAATTAATTTCTAAAATAATGTAAACGGTTTTTCATTATAGATTTTTGAATAAAAAGCTTAAATTTATATATTTTAAGAGAATTGGTGTCAACTAATTAATCATCAATTAAAATGAGTCTTGACAGGTCCAAACCGACGGTTTTGCGGTTAGTAGTTCCGTCACATGTAAGGGGACACGCTTGATTAACTCAGGGAAGTCTAAGGATTTCGAATTCGGATCTTTTGCAGATGTAAGAAATAGTAAACGATAATTATTAACCAGGCGAGCTGGCGCCGAAATATCCCTATACGGGATAGTTCTAACAAAGTGATTTTAGTTTATACAAGGGATTAATATTTCTTTAGAGGATATATGACATTTTCTATGTAAAAGTTCGTTTTATAACTCCGTATTTAACATGTGTAGATTCAGTATCGATTCAGTAGTTCAGGGTGTCACGGGCGGTCCGAAGGCTAAATAAGGTGCAAGAAATGAGTAATGGGCTAGTTACATATTTCCGAAAAAAATTTGACTACAACTAACTACAAAAAAATATGTGTTAGGTATCATCAGTTGGCACTACAGCCCTTCGTGAGCCTTGGCCTGCTTCAAAACATTCTTCCATCCTTCCCTATCGAGTGTCTGTCTTCTCCAGCCCCTCACTCCAATCTCCCTCAGATCTTCCTGTACATCGTCCAGATATCTGAGTTTAGGTCGCCCCCTTCTTCTTCTTCCGACCGGCCTGTTTAGCATAGTTATTTTAGTGGGATCACTCTCATCCATCCGCATAACGTAACCCACCCACCTTAGGCGGTTTATTTTGATGGTCTTCACAATATCTGCATTACCAAAAAGTCTATAGAGTTCAAAGTTATATCGCCTTCTCCACAGACCCTGTTCGTTTACTCCGCCATATATGGTCCTCACTACTTTTCTTTCAAAGACTCGTAGTAACTCTTCATTTCGGGTCGTCATTGCCCATGTTTCCGATCCGTATGTGAGCACTGGGCGTATTATTGTTTTATAAAGTTTGCACTTTGTTGCTATTGACATATGTGTTAGGTATATAGTTGATAAAAGGAACATTTTGGCCTAAACAAACCAGGAGCACAATCATCACTGTTCAGAGAACTCAGAAAATCTAAAATAGTACTAGATGCAAACCCTAAATAGCTAAAAAACGGAGTAAAAGAATAAATGACAATAACTTACAGTAATTTAATGAGTTTCTTCTCATTTTAGATAATGGTACCCATATGGGTTTAGGGTATTTAAAGGAGCAATTAAAAAATGCATGTAAGCTGATAATATAGGTCAGATATCCACTGGTAAGCGTCTTTATTCTACCATATTCCTAAATCAGCTTTACGAGATCACGTAACTGGAATAAGAGGTAAAAAAGTTGCGAATTTGGAAGACCAACTGGTCTACTACCAGAAAAAGAACTATGGAAAAATGGGGGATCAGTCTATTCC